CACAAATTTCCTGCGGTATTGTTTTATTAGGCTTCTGCAATGTGACAATTTATTTCCGTCCGTCGCTGCACAAATTTTTCACCAAGCTCTAAAATGATGGGAGAGTCTGATCTGGAAGGATGAGCCGCCACACACATGGATGTGGCGGCTCATCCATGTATGTGTGATTATCCGTAGGAGGCTCAGACCTATTTACAGTCAGATCCAGGTGGTGACGTTCTTTTATTTGGCCAGACAGCGAAGACAATGTAGTAAACACAGTAGCTCTGGAGAGAAATCTAGTTTCCCTGTTATAACTTAGAGATTGTACCACTTAACCCCAGGTACAGTACCTCATTAATTTGTCACGTTTTACGTTATTGTAACCTTTATGTTAAATATATTTTAAAGAGAATACAATGCAACAGGTAAAGTCAAAACAGTGCAGAATTTGTTCAATCTTCTACAAGTAAAAACATTAAAATTGACTCTAGTTGGGGCGCCCCTATGTCTTAAATTTGGGGGGGGGGATCATATTTTATCTATCACTACAGAAGGATTCAGTGAATGCGCATATGAAACTGGTGGGTTCGGTACCTCAAAAAAGATTAAGAACCACTGACCTAGACATTGGTTAATGTATTCTGAGTTATTAACTTGCATTTTTCATGCTAATGTAATATTTATCCAGCTAGAGCATGGGTGGCCAAGTCCAGTCCTCGAGAGCCACCATCCTGCAAGTTTTAGAAGTATCCTTACTCCAACAGACCGGGATCAGCTCTACAGAGGCCTGATAACGAGCCAGTCATTTGATTCAGGTGTGTTGAAGCAGGGATGCATCTGAAACTTGCAGGATGGCGGCTCTCGAGGACTGGACTTGGCCACCCCTGAGCTAGAGAGTCTCACACCAACAGATGCTAGCACTGGACGCTAACAGTGAGATGGAAGCCCAGATGAGGATGCGTTGGACCCGGTATCGTCATCACAATGTTCACCTGTGTTATTGCTATTGCAAGATTTCCTAATATCATGCAGCCTGAGTTCATATCCCCAGCATAAATCACTGAATTCCTCTCAGACCTGCAGCAGCGACTCCACTGTGTATTTCTGCCTTTTTTTTTTTTTTACATGCAGTAAGACTCCTGCATTAGTAGTCAGTGTCTTACCCCAATATGCTACGGTGCTGTCGAGAACACAAGCCATGCAAAAGGATTTAAAGCCGCAGTCGGTTCTGTAGAGGTTAGATTAGAGGTGCTCTTATACAAGATCTCGCCTGTACGCCATAAACGTCAAATAGATATAGTTTTATTTCTTTAGTCACGTGGGATTTTTGGGAGGAAGGAGCTGGACAGCGGGAGGTGGGAAAAGAAGGCTCAGTTGGCGCGCTGTTTTATGACATAATTAGGTGCCCATGTTGGCAAATACACTCCCAGGTGGATCGAGTTTTATTGCTGAAAATCTTTTCACAACCGCAAAGAACCAGCGTAATGTCTGTGTTGATGGATCCCGGGGCACAACCTGTTCTGTCAGTGTTGATTATCCTTAGACGGCATAACAAATACGAATTGCTTTTTTATTTTTCCATTAAAACTGTTTTTACGAGCTCAACAAGCATTGCAATCTGTTTAAAAAAAAAAAAATTATATATATATATATATATATATATATATATATATATATATATAATTTATTTTTTTTTTATGTATTATGCTTGGTACCTGCAGTATTATTGAACGGGCATCTGTTTGGACAGCATGTCTGTTTACACAAAGCATTTTTAGAGAAAAGTATCCCATTCTGCAAGAGTAAAACTAGTCAAGGGCTGGTTGTAAGCATTAACTTTAATGTAACTGTTTTTGGTCTTAAAGCAACAAAAAAAATGATGTTTGAGTTTTAGGGTTCAAACCTGAGGCGGAATTGGTTGTTTAAAAATAGCTGCAGTATACAGTTTGCTAAACGGTTTAGTCATTTTCTGCTCTCGGGCTGCTGTAATTTCCTGCTATTACATTCATCTCATCTCAAAACTGTCAAACTGGAGTAAAAAGTAAAGAAATGTGCTAACAATTTAAACTAATGCAACTTCCATATTCGTCTTTTTTGTGTTTTAGTTGCTTTTATTTCTTCTTTAGCAATTTCTTTAAGGCCAAAAAAACTAATCTCATCTTTTTGCAGTATTTGCCAAATTATTCCCTAAAAATACAGTTTGTAAAAGCTCCTAGTTGTGCTGTTAACAGAAAATATAATGCTGCATTTGTTTGTTGAAGTAAGAATAGGAGAATGGACACAGACGAACAAAATATCTGACCACCCCAGTGCCAAAAAACACACACAAAAAAGCCAGATTGTAGTTTCAAAAATTACTTGAGGACAAACATATTTTATGTCACGACACAAGAACATTATAATTAGACTTATAGTTAGACTGAACATGCTGTCACATCGTTACAAAGTTTTTTAGTGATGTCAAATTCAGTGTTTTAGGTTAATTCTTGAAGCTGGTGTACAAATGCACAAAGATTTGACCCAAGTCAAAAGTATTAAAAGAAAATGGTACCAAATAAGAAAAATGAGTAAACTGCTGAATATTTTTTTAAAAGTTAGAAAATTCTGTCAATTTTTCTCATTATTTTTCCATTTAGAAAATAGAAATTATTTACGTGATCCTGTATGACCTAAAACAGGAAAAAACTTGGTTTGATAAAATCTTTCAGTTCTACCCTCTACTAGCCAAAAAAAAAAAAGTTTCAGGATTTTTGTTCAAATTTCTCAATTTTTTTCAATAAGTGCAGAAAGAACGCCTCAGTGTTTATATGGAAATATAATTTCTAATCTGTGTATTTTATTTTATTTTTTTTTTTTTACATCAGACATTACCATCTAGGTACAGAACCTGCGAGATAAATCAAAAGTTTGCACTCTGGATAAAGTTTCATCCTGACAATTTCCCCAAGTTTGCGCTCAAACTCAACACGGCGTTTTGATTTGAACAGTTCTCAGCAGCATCCAGCTGTGCGGCTGATTCAGGGAAGTAAGGTCGAAATGTTTTAACAGGTCAAATGGGCCAAAGCAAAGGGCATTGTCCTTATGACCTCAGTGAAATCTATACCCTGAGGTCCAGCCAGGCAACTCGGGTAAACACTGGGGCTCAGAACCAACACACACATTCATATTCTGTGCCTCATTGCCACATAGATCTGTATGTAAATAACTGCAGAGTCAGGGAGCAAACACAGCATCCTGGCTCAGCACTTTGGGTCTCGCATTCAAGTCGATACGTTTTCCATCAGTGAAACTAATCTGATTTCTTTCTGTTTTGTTGCATAAACGAAGTTTGCTCTGCATCACTCCTTGTTCTATCGATGCTTCTGCAGGACAGAACAGTTGTTTTAATTTAATTCCCGGCTCATCTTTTAATTATAGTTTCAGAAAATTCCCATCACTCTCTGCGTCGTCGCAGAATGTGAGCTTGTTTGTTCCCCCCCCCCCCCAGATCGGCAGCGAGATCAGTGACGATGCAGAAGAGGTTGTGTTGTTTTCTGTTGAGAGAGAAATATTCTTATTAAAATGTGGTGCGTAAAAGTAAAAAGCCCTGTAATAAACACAGCACATTTCATACTCATATTTGCATACCTAATAGATGTAAACCCTCTCCGGCTGCATGTCAGAGCTAAAAATAGGCGGCTAATGCTTGGTCTTCACTCTGCATCAAAACCTCTTGGAAATAAAGTGATTAATAACAGGAACATGCATGAATCATGTAAGGACCTGCAGCAGTTTTTTAAATATTTATAAATTAGAGACGTTTGCATTCATGGTCGATCTCTGATTACAGGCCGGAGAGGGGAAAGGTCAAGTTATAAATTAATGTCACGGTGACCTTAAAGCCTTTAAGGCTGCGGCAGCAGAGAGATGGCGCCTTGCTTCTGTTACATCTTCATTAGTTTGCTTCCCAGAGTTGGAAGAAGGGGAGAAATCTTTACATTTCAAAGCAGATTTTGATAACTTTAATTAAAAATGGGAAACACAGCATTGACTACATTGATTTTGTAAGAAATGTTTGGTTTGTGTGATTGACTGGCGACATGTCCAGGGTGTATCCCACCTGCAACCTAATTACTGCTGAAGATGGGGACCAGCAGCCCCCTGGTGGCCATGTGAGGACAAACATGTAGGATGGATGGATGGATGCTCTTTGCACTTGAAGCTAAAGAAGAGAAGAATGTATATAGAATAAACCCCTAATAATTTTAACCTAATATTTACAACAGAGTTCATGCAAGAACACTTGCATATGTTTGTCCTGGGCTGCTGGAGCCACATTTTTTCCTTTCAGCACAGCACCGTTATGGAACAACGCCTTTCCAATCCGTTGGACTGAAGGGAATGTAGGGTTTGATATTTTGTACATGCATCTTATCTTTGATACAAATGTTTATTTCTTGACATGACAGTTTGTTTAGTTTATTCCCAGGGATTCTTAAAAGATTCCAGCTTGGAATAGTTATGCAATTCCCAGCTTAACTTCAACATGGAAAGTTTCCTGAAATCTCTTTGCTGGCCTGCTTGCAACAAAGTATGGTGCTAGTTATCGATATCAAGGTTTCTGACGCAGCAGCTGAAGTTCCTTTAATGAGATGCTAGATGCTTTATAAAGCAGCATAAGCCAAAGATATATATATATATTAAGTTTATTCTATATTTTTGCTGAATATGAAAAAAATATGATCAGAATAATGAAATCAATATCTTGTATTATTTTTGCAACATTAGGAATAGCGGTTGTTTTTCTGTCTCGATTTAAAAGCAGTTAGATCAACATTTGAGTTTCAAAATGTGCAGTTTTTATATTAGTTCAAGCATCTTTTATGCTCATTTCTACCAAATTGTTAGACTTCCTGTCTCACTTTACAATGGTTTGCATGACTAAAATAAATCTCTTGTAAAACATCTACAAACACCTCCTGTGTGTTTTTATTTTGAAGAGTTTCCTCTTGTGCCTTCAGTGAGGTTGGCTTCCTGTTTATCACCCCAGGTGTTTGCGGCCAATCGCCCCACCTGTTGTGCCTTAATTATGGGTTTCTCTGTAGTTGGACTTTGTTGAATTGATGTTCCTCTGCCTCCATTTATTTAGTTTCATTTTCTTCACGCTGTTTGCCACTGACAGAGAGGAGAGAAGCATCTGAGCAGTGCAGGTATTTAACTGTTACATGTTTGTGTCCACTTTGATGTTTCTATTAGCTTTACACGTAAAGGTCACCCAGCTCCATTGATCCAACTGCAAACAAACCTCCCAAATCCTTTCAAGTTGATGTTTTATAGATCTGAATCTCTAATGTTACTTAATAGATCAGTTTCTGAAGCTGTTGACAGGGGGAAAAAATAGCTTTCAATACCTCTGTCACCAAAATATCATAACAGCTGGAGTGAAAAATGACTACTTTGATACCATTTTGCCTCTTATTATTAATTGGAAATTGTGTGGTGTTCTTTGTAAAGTTACCGTCAAAACTTAGCTGTAATTTCGGTTAGCCTGTCGGAGCTAATTTTTCAGTCATATTTTCACCATTATTCATTTATGAACTCGGTTTCAAACTATTTAGTTAGCAAGCAAAATTAAATATTTAACTCAAGGCTAAATATTTATTCAACATAGTAAATGCTTATCTTGCTAGCTAAATATTTAGCTTCAAACTAAACAGCATCAAGCTAAAAATGTAGCTTGCTTACTATGTATTTAGCAGCTATATATGTAGGTAGGAAGCTAAATATTTTTGCTTCTTTCCATTCTCTGCTTTAATATTTAGCTTCAAACTGCATATTTATTATGCTAAGTATTTAGTTTAGATCTAAACATTTTATCGGTTACTAAATATTTAGCTTGCTAATTAAACATTTAGTTTAAATCGTGACATTTATAAATGAATGACGGTATAACTAAAAAATTAACCCACATTTTTGTTTTGCTTTTATGAGAAGGCTAACCAATCCAAATTATTGCTGTTAATTTTTGACCGTAGCTTTAGAAACGGCATGCTATAGGACAAAACAAAAAACAACTCGTATTAAAACATGAAGGCAGTTTACTTCCAGCATGGACCGAGCTGAATCCCTTGTATCATCGGGATCAAGCCCCACCAGAATGGGTGATCTGATCGTCTCCGAGCTGTGCCGCGTCTCAGAGAGCTCAACTGCCCGGTCCAGACAGGAAAACAGGACATGAGCTCCTCTCCAGACCCTGGCACAGCGTGGTGAAGGCCTGAAGCTTTTGGAGGCTTTTCAGGGAATTTTGGCCAAAGAATGAGCCTCGCATTCTCATCATCTGTGAGAATCAAGTCCTGGACTGACTCGCACTGAAATGGACCCAAAAACTTACAGACGAAGTGTAGCTGATGCAAAACATGTTGTGAAGCAGCTGCATTAACGAGATTGTGGGGCAGGACAGAGCAAACTGCGACAGCTGGAGAGCAGAAGAATCAGAACCAGGACTTGATCTCTGCAGCCTGGATTTTAAAGGTATGTTGGCATAAGTTGGGACTCTGTATTTCTTGAAATGTTTTCTACATTCAGATACTATTTGTCCTGATGAAACACGGTGATATTTACTATCGCACATCTGTGAACACCTGCCCTTAATTTTAAACTCGCTCACTGGAGGATCTGAAGATGAACCTGTCAGGATGTTATAATGTTGAGCTCTTCAGGGTCTCCTTAAGGAAGCTGTGGCCTGATGATTACAGATTACATTGACTGTCTTTTTTTTTTTGCATGCACAAAGCTTCTGGTGCGATGGTTTGTTATAGTTATGGTAGATCCATGTGGGAGGTTGCAGGTCAACAAGTGGCTGCAGCTTGGCATTTTACTCGTCAGTATTGTGAGTGATGTTTTATATTTCAGTTACAATTGTTACTGTTGCTTGAGGATAGAAATTATACAGTTGACAAATGTTCAAATATGATAGAAAATAAGGTTACTGCAAATTGGATCAGTTTTTCATTTTCATATTGATTTTTTTTTCTCAAATTTAAAAAGGGAAATGATCCCAAGCTTTTATTTGTAGCATTTACAAATGAATGGTTAGTCACAAAATCCTGACTTCGGTTTTATGCACTCGCAGTGTACAGACGTAAAGTATAAATTTAGAAACTTTAGAGCGCATGTGTCACCTTTAAAGGCTGGTGTCTTACAACTTTTACATGTCTCTGCTTCTGCACCTCTGAGTCACATAATCAACTCACTTACAGGACTCTGGAGAACTGGGCTGCATACTAAGGTGATTCAGCCGTTTGACTCGCGTGCATTTGACCAGGTAACCATATGAAAGGACGCAGGTGAATGTATGTGCTTGTTGTTTAGAGAGAAAAATGTTATTTTGCGGTAGTGCAAATATGCATGTTTAGGAAAAGAAACAGTTTCTGTCTCCAACACAATGAAGAGTTCAAACTTCATGATTTGGTGGAAAAACATCAATTTTCACTTCCAGATTTCATGCGTCTTGGATTTTCCTCCACAGGCTGTGATTTCATTTTCAAATGCTTTGTGTAGTTTAAGCAGCCTGTGTAGCCAGACATCAGCTAGGTAAAGGTGTGCGTCGCTTCATCTGCGATCACAGAAATGCATGAATCTCCTCTGAACACCAGATTTACGGTGTGAGTTTGCTGCCGATGTGTTTGTGTGCATTTGCATGCTCGGTGCCGGTCCATCTGTGCCGTCACCCCCCTCCCCATGCGACCAGATGACTCAGCTGGATGTCTGTCTGCATGTCTGACATGATGCAGGGCCTCGGCCTCAACTGGCCCGGTGGGTGGTCCCGGCCCAGCATGGCTGAACAGCAGGTTGTGGCATCGCTTCCCACCTCCAGCCCTCCACTCCCGATTTCCCTCATCTTCTATCGCCACTCCTCGGTTTTTAGTGTTTTCAAAAAGGGGAAATTGACAAGTAATGAGGAAGGAATTGGCTTTTTTTTTTTTGACCCGAAACCCCCTCACCCTCTGTCCCTGATGACTGACATGTTCTTGAGGATAAAATATCAAATTTAACCAAAGTGTTTTTTATGCAGCAACAAAAGCAGCAGGTGTGATTTTTGCAAAGTAAAATGTTTAGTTTGCTAAACACTGACAGAAAAGCAACATGAAATGCTTGTGCTCAGAATTTTGTCCATTAAAGTCAAAATTTTCTGTTCACGCCAACATCAATCCAATCACGCCATCCTTCACCACTGCACAGGTTCAAAACTTGCAAGTTTTAAATTACCTCTTTAGAACAAACTAAGCAAGAGGTGTGACTTGATTAAAATTTTTAAAGGACTTAATTGCAGGGTCTGTAATTAATCGCGTTTAAACCCAACCACACCTCGACAAAACAAGCAGCATTTTAAATTCAAAAATCCGCTTTGCTGCTGCCTTCCTCCTCTGGAAACAGAATACAGTTGAGTAGATAAAAATGCTTTCATCATGTGCAGCGTCTCACTCCTGCTCCCACTCTTGAACTTGGTACTGAGCCATCAGAGATCTATAGGAGGCCTCATGAGAACAAATAGCCCGTATCTAATCTGTTTCCTCTCCTGATGAGTTCTGACTACATGGCTGCTGATTTTCTGCAGTAAAAATGGCTGAAAACGCATGCTCCTCTTTCATTTCCCTGTCTTTTCTTTAAATCTGCTCCATTTTCATCCCATTTCCCTCACCTTTGTATTCCTCTTCACCTCAGTTTCCCCCTCCGTGTCCTCCATCTCTCTCTCTGCCTCTCATATTCTCACCCCCAGCTCGCTTTGTGAGCAGCTGAATGTTTACTTCATGTCAGCCTCATCATCCATTCTGACTGGGCCTCTGCTGGGAGGATTTGCTCCTCTCTTTCACATTTTATTTGTTCCCCTATTTGCTGTTTCCATTAAAGATGAAATTGAAATCTCCTGTGCCAACACACACCAGACGCCGCGACTAACAGAAACACAAAGCGAGCTGTGCTTTGGCGTGTGAAAGAGCACACACCTCTCGTCCTACTTTTTCTTGCTTTACCTTCTTCTCATCCGCCAACACCGACTTGTCTCCGTTCTGTAGTTGTTGCAAGTGCGAAAGGAGACGCTTTTGTCTTGTTTTTGTGTGGTATGATTTATTTCCTGCTTCGTCAAGGGAACTGACTCTTCCTCTTTCTCAGTCTGGCACTTTTCAACACATTTAAAAACTTACTTTTCTCACTTCTTTGCCTAGACCTTTGAGGCAAAATTTAGCAACAAGAAGATGTGAGCTAAATGACTCAGTGCTGGCGAGACGTTCACATCAACTCTTCAGGAGCAGGAATCGCCTGATAGTTTCAGGGGTTTTAAGGGATTTTGAATCGTCTATCCTGAGTGGGATGATGCTGCTGCCAATGACTCAGATATGCCCAGACCCCAGTATCAGTTGATTAATAAAGGGCTCCTTGTGGTCTGGTAGTGTGTGAATATTTCCGTGACGTTTTCAGTTTGGGAGTATGGGGTACCTGACCCCTTGATAGGGGCCCTTGGGTTCCTGTATGAGTCGCAGGGAGTCGTCCTGTTTCCATTGTGTAATTGGACTCTGCCAATGTTGCCCTTTGTCACTGAGTCATAAGGTGGTGAGGGGATCTATTGTCGGGTCTCTGCTTTTTGCAGATGATGTGGTTCTGTTGGCTTCATCCCAACATGATCTTCAGCTTTCACTGGTACAGTTTGCAACTGGGATGAAGATCTCTGTTCCCCCCAAGTCCAAGACCATGGTCTTGAGCAAGAAAAGAGTAGAATGTCTTCTCCAGGTTGGGGATGAGGTCCTGCCCCAAGCAGAGGAGTCTAAGTATCAAGGTATTATTCGAGAATGAAGGGGAAAATGGAGATCGATAGGTAGGTTGGCTCTGGACAGGCACTGTCCTAGTCTGTTGTTGTGAAGAGAGAGCAAAGCTCCTGACTTACCAGGATGTTCTTACCATTATCTATGGCAGAAACTCAATGGAGAGAGAAGTCTGGGCCTTTCTGTTTAGGCTGCTGCCTCAAGTGGATGAAAATGGTTGGATGGACTGACCACTCTCTGCAACTCAAGATGGCTGTGTGCTGAAATCTGAGTAGATCAGTAGTTTCTGAAATACTAATCCGTCTGGCACTAACGACCATGCCATGTTCTAAGGGACTAGAATCGTCCTCCTCCTCCTTTCTGGACTTCATCAAGTCGTCTTCATCACACCTGAATGCATGGAGAAGCTGCAACAAGGGACCAGTAAGTGTGTGTATATTTTTGAGTTTTTATGAACAAACCCTGTTTATGCAGAACAACAATTACAAAAGGTCTCAAATTAATGACTTTTACACCCCAGGAAACGTATGTACAGTTCTCTGTGGAAGCGCGGAAGACTGTTCTCCGTCGCTCCGTCTTTCTCGTGACGTCGGTGAAAACCTTCAGAGAGGTCGTAGGCAGTGTTTGGATGGCTGCAGGAGAAAACAAAAGCGGCACTCTGCAGGTTAATGAGGCCAGGAAGACGCTTTGTGTCGAGCTTCATCAGTATTCAGCGGAGGTCCCCCACCCGTGCTCTCCCAATATTATGCCAGTCATTTAGGTCAGCCACATTACGGTGCCTATGTGAGAGGCAGCCACCCACACACACACACACACACACACACACACACACACACACACACAAAGATGTAAACAGAAGATGGGAGAATTTTCAGGCAATTTAATAGAAATACAGTCTCATCAGCTGCTCACCTCCTCATTCTCTCTATTCATTAGCTCTGTCCCTCACTCACTGCCTTTTCTTTCCATTTTGCAAACATCCATCTCTTGCTACCTGACCCCCTTCGTCTCTTTCTATTCCCCACATACTGCTCCTTCAATTAAGATAGAGTGGCTAGTCCTATATAAATTACATTAACATCTCTAATGGCTGCCGCAGGTTATTGGTTTGTCATTAGGACCCCACTCAGGTCAGCACAGGCCAGCTTCCAGAGCTCAGTAAGGGATTTAAGAGAAGCAGATCCTAGCTGCAGGGGAAAGCCTTCGACAGTTTTTACTCAATCCGCTAATAGAGAAAAGGAAAACAGACAGCATCAAACTTCCAGTTTCTTTACGGGCATGAGGTTAGTTTCTGCTGTCCACCGGTAAAAGTTTCTCATTTAAATGGTCAACTTAACTTTGTTAGTAGTTGGTTTTCACCGTATCGCCTTCTCTTTATTCTCGGTATGCTTTGGGTTTTTGGAAGAGTTGTTTGTATCCGAGCATTTTAAATATACATTTTTCCAATATTTTATGTAATTACAGGAGGGGGGGAATGCATGGAGTAATGATCTCAATATCAGGAATTGAATCCAGAACAATTACAACCATATAACAGCTTTATGATCCCGGCTCATCTCTTCAGATGTTGGTTCAATATTTCCATATGATGTTCATTTCCCATGAAGTGGAGTTCACCCATGCTGTACCTTCAGCCGTCATAAAAATGTTAGGATGTCCTGGACTTTCCCAAGTTGAAATGATCTTAACCAACTCGCCCCATGTTTGAGCAACAAATTGAACCTGACCTGCAGAAACTCCTGTAGGGACAATATGTCATAAATATGCATACCAGAGTGAAGTTGGACTCAGTGATAACACAGATCACGTAGTGCTGATGACTAATAGTGTTATGGTACAGATTCATTTTCTGAAAAGACTTAAATTGGTTTTTGTGAGAAAATAGAGATGTATAAACCTGTACTTTGTGTGAATTCACACCAGTCACATTTGAGGATTATAAAAAGTCTGGCTCTGTGAGCTTTAACCAATTTGACACAATCACATGAATATTTTTACAATGTAGCTTCATCTCGCATTGCAATGTTATTCCACCATCGTCTGATTGAGATTTTGAAATATTTGATATATCGTAAAGAACATATTCCTTTAAGAGCTAATTTATATCTCAAGATTGTTTTTATTTTTGCACAGCTGCTTTGGTTTCCCCGTCACCTGTGCCATGGATTCATGAAACGGGTCAAACTCTTTTCAAGAACTCCATCAGCGCAGCTTTATTTCCACTTTAGCTCTCCGTGTTTCACTGACATGCCTGAATAGCAAATTAGCATCAAATTGATAGCCTAGAGCTAAATTTCCTCCCTTCCCTTCTTTCTTTCTAACATTATGACTAAGCCTGAACTTCTTAAAAAAAAAAAAAAAAACATGAGAACATTTCTCCTAATTTTTATTTGGACTGTTGGATAGATCGGATGGTCAGTTTTGGTTGCATATTCCACTGGAAAAAAAAATCAGTTTAATGAACAAAGTAATTTTACTGGCAGCTGTTTTTAAAAGGCGCAGTGTAAAGTGAGTTGTTTTTCTTTCAGATTGTTGGTTTTTCAAATCTTCCTCGTTGATCTGCTGATTCTGACTCGACTCCAAATGTTTTTATACCATCACACTTGGCTGCAGCTTGTGCATGAGCTAAACGTCTTTAATCTTGTGCAGTAACACTGTATTGGCAAGAAATTATAATTTAGCAAACTGGAGCATGAAAACTAATTTGTCATTAGCGTAGAAATTTGGGCTTCTGTGTTTTTATTTTCGAGCAAATGATACCCAAGGATGCTGGGGGTGACCTCTTTGCTGTCTCTGTGCCATATTTCACTGCTGCTAACCCAGATGGGCTCGGCTTTTGGATTCGAACACAAACTGCACATGGCATGCAGCTGGAGCTCTTAATCTTGTGAATCATAGCAGTTTAGCAGTTTTAAATGAGTCACTGCACAGCCTGGTGTCACAGTAACCATCTGAAAACAGGGAATGAAGGGAAAAATAATCAGATTTATGCTGATATTTGGACATTCTTCGCTCTTGCAGATTTGAAGGAACTTTCTCACTCAGGCAGCTACAAGAATATTTAACGCGATTGTCTGTTTTTGAGGGACCCGAATCATTTATTGGATTTCACTCTAGAAATCCAAACCTTATTTTTGACACAAATATTTCTCATTTTCTCAACTTTTTATGAAAAGCTCCCTTTCCTCAAAATCTGTCTGTGTTGATTTAAATATTGGTTTTACACATTCTTAATGAAAAAGTTTAAATGCATGGCAAAAACAAGTATGGTAATGATCTGAAAACAAAAGACAACACAATTATGCATACAAAATGACTTCTCTGGCTGTTTCTACCTGTCTGAGGCTTTTAAAGGGTTAAAGCACATTTTATCACCAAAGAGCTGAGTTTCACCAAACTGAGTCACAAATAATGTGCAAGGTGTGAAATGCATGCCACTTCTACGTTTGTATACTGAATACTTTAAAGAAATAACATTAACCGTGATGGGGTTTTTATATGGGTGGTTGCCCAGGGAGGCATTTGAAAGATGGGCACCAAATGCCATTAAAAAAGAAAAAGAACTGGTCAGTTGGACCCTGTAGAGATTTTGTTTTCAAAGGTTGCATCAGAGAGCATAAAATTAAGTTTTATGGCTACAGATGGAGTTGCACCACACCAGTGTTTCTGAGTTTGCGGCAGAATTGACATCAGATTTTGGCAACATGTAAAAACTTGGCACCAGTCACTCATTTCTAAGGTAGCAATAATTGTGAAATGGCAGTTAAGAACTAGCTAATTGTTACCAGTATCATTCAAAGCAACAGTATGGTCAGCTTACTAAATAATACTAAAGGATTATTTTTTTCTTTTACAGTGGAACTATTTTCTCTACCTGCATGTTTACTATAATGTGCTAATGAATTATGTATATAATGTTGAATATAATATTCAGTACAATATCTAGTTATCTAAGCAGCAGTTGAAATAGAATATTTTTTTGTTAAATAAATGCGTAATAAGTTTTTGAATGGCTGCTTCATTCCCGTAATCTGTAATCTGTCCTGGTTTGTTCCAGATTACTCCACCGTCAGAACCTCACAGCTCATGCCTCCTTCACTCCTTCTGTTTCGGAGGAGCCGTGATCTGTGCCGGGAAGTCTTATTAGGGAAATGACTAGTCGAAATTGCCCTTAACAATTTGATGCTCTCAGTATACAGAAGTAAGACAGAAAATTCAAGCTAAGCTCCACTGCAGCAACACTCACACAAAAAAAAAGGGAGAAGGAAGCACAACCGAGGGGGAGACCATTTATTTTCTTCGTTTGGTCCCTGGGTTGTCAATCCACTCAGTGAGGGTTTTAAAAGTAGCTGAGGACAATCTGCAGAGAGCCCCGTCTGTATTAAACATGGCGTATTCGCCTTGTGGTTAATGTCAAGTGTGGCTAAGGTACCTGGGTCTCCGAGGGGGTGCCGAGCGAGAGCACTGTTGATGTGATTAAAATGTTGGAGAACAGCCAGAGGGTGATGGCTGGCACAGATTCTGCTCTGTCACCTCCTCCTCCTCCATTTCACCCTCCATCCCTCTCCTCTCAGTGCCAGCTGTCAGTTATGTCAGTCAGTTTGCTAATGATGCTCCTACAGAGCTCAGAGCGCACCGATACATCTGTCATGCCCAAATATCTCTCTGTTCGCATGTAAACAGTCCTCAAACGGCCTAGTTTTGTGCGATGCTGCTTTTTACGCCGGGTTAAGGAAATGTATTATTCATAAACGCTCTCTATTCATTACACCACCGTTGGTCAACATCCAAGAGCATTTTCACACTTAACTTCTTCCATGAGCCTCAGTGTTGGTGACAAAATAATGCCCAGACGGAATATTTTAGCTTAGTACTTCTGCTTCCAGTCCATTAAAAGTGGGTGCTGTCACTGAGCTGCTATTTTTCTTTTTCAGGGATGTTATCAGTCCTGTCAGACGTGCAAATCATATAGTTCACAGTCGAGCAGCGGCTGCCCAACCCTGACGGGTCAACGAATTTACACCTCGACCACTTTAGGTTTTAACGCCAACCTTCAAACTGCTTCCTTAATGAAGAATTTCACAGGCAATTTGCGCATTGTGACATCTGAAGCGTCTATTTTTAAGATTCTTCTTGTTCAGATATGACTCGACAGCATCCGCATAGAGAACTTGTGATGTGTTTTATTGTTTTGATTGTAACTTAGTGGCGCTTTCGTTCAGAGGTTGCCAGAAAAGCTGTGAGATTAGCAGCTATAATCAGGAAGGAATAAAATGCAGACTAAACTGTAGACGGTGAGAAAGTCACTGATGGATAATGTGGTCGATCGATATGTACCGGTTATCTGTCTTAAAGGTTAATCCCGAGGCAAAGCTCTAAAGGTGGATAGATTTAACATTTATCTGTTTTTGAAGACGTCGGGAAAGAAACAATGGACTGGTTTCTAGGGTTGGGAAATTAAGAACACTTCATGAGTGATCTGATTATGATTCAGACGGCGACGGTGAGAGTGCACTCAGGCATACAACCCAAACTAACCCAACACACAAACAATATTCATTAAATTGGTACTTCTTGTAGATTTGATCTTGATAATGTCCGTTACATCTCAGAGATAAAGTTGTTGGTTGAATAAAACTTATGTAGGATGTACACTGCCTGGGGTGTGAATAATTTTGGGTTGACTCCATAGTTAACCGTAAGTGCAGGTTGCGATGCTTGCAGGATGCAACGCTGCAGCGTCGTAAATGACGGTCAGGT